GCGTGTCTGGGTGTGCGCCCTGCCTGCTGGCCTGTCCCTGGGGTGGACTGAGTAGGTGAGGGGAAATGGGCCTTGGAGCTGCTGGTGGCAGGGAAGGGGCTGGTCTGCGGGGCCCATGGGGGGAAAGGGTCTGTGTAGGGGAGGGAGCAGGCTGCCATATCCTTAGTGTCCAGTCGAGAAGGTTTTTTTTCATTCTGGATTGCATGCATGTTTTATTTCTCTCCCCTGTAATTGGTTTGTAAAGGAGATTGGGTAGGGAGCAACTTTATGTCAGCAAACAGTTTTGTTCCGAGTCTGATATCTTTCCATGCTCAATGCCATAAAGCCATGGCTTGTACGCAGTGTTTTGTCTGACTGGTATTGCTTAATTCCTCACAGATTTGCCTACATGAATATATATTTGTGCATACTCTCCCTGTGCTTGGGACTGTCCTCTGCTGCTCCAAGAATAGATCCTGATTTGGATGGCCACTGGCAGCTGTGGAAGTTGTGGCATAATAAGGACTATTATGAGGTGAGTGCCCTGCAGAGAGCCTCTGGGGTCTGTGTTTAGCTCAGCAAATAGCAAGCACTCAGCTGGGCCCTGATAGCTGAGTCATGACTGCTTTGTTTTTATGCTGGCTCTGATCTACATTTGTGAAAGATTTGTTCCTCTTCCCAGGTCCCTTTCCTTTGTTCATGCAGCTATTCATTTGTACTGTATTTTTTATCTTCTGAGGATGCCAAAATTACTATCTCTTACATAATATTCAGGTTTTTGTTTATAAGTAGTCTACATTTGCCTGAGTATACAAGCCATAAGAAAGCATACTGTAACTAACATGAAACTCTGTTTGAACTTTCTCCTTGAAGTATGTTGTTTTCTGGCCCTTCAGAGAGAGGAAAACTGGAGGAGAGTGGTGTGGGAGAAGAATCTGAAAATGATTGAACTCCACAATCACTCATTAGGAAAACACAGTTACAAGTTGGGAATGAATCAGTTTGGTGACATGGTATGTATAAAGGGAGGTGTAAAACATAGCTCTAAAGAGCAGTGTTTGCTAGATGGTGATTTAATGTCTTGAATTCTCTTCAGACAACTGAGGAGTTGAGACGTGATGAATGGCTATATACACAAGTAGACAGGATGGAAGTACAGAGGATCCCAGTTCCTCGAGCCTAGCTTCCTGGAAGCACCAAGATCTGTAGACTAGAGAGAGAAAGGATATGTAACACCAGTTAAAGATCAGGTATTCTATGATGGAGGGCTTTTAACCAGTTATAGCATCAGGTCCCTGAATGCTACCTCCACTTCCATAGAGCAAAAACAGAGGACTTGTTTAATGAAGACTGGTGCAAGCTTACTAAATTAAGTGCAACCCCCCATTCCGTGGGAAAAGGAGCATCAACAGGGCATGTTGACCCATAGTCACGCGGCTGAGCCCGTGCCAGTGTGGCGCTGCACCTGGGCTTTGAATCAGAAGCAGCGATGAGCTCAATATGCTTGCTGCGCATGTGTGTAGTCCATAAAAACCTCACATAGTGCCCCCCCGAGGCGTTCCTCGCCCTGGACCGATGCTCAGCGGTGCCAGGGACTCTCCCACTCCGTTATTGCCTCGATCGGGAAATCGCTGGGGAACCTCCGCTCAGACGCAGAGGTAATAAACGCTCAATATCAACCATAGTGTGCCTTATGCTTGTGTATCTGCCCCTCCCTTACCCTTACAATTGGCGTTAACGGCAGGATACACATATGACAATGCCGTGGTTGAGGAGAGTGAGGGGGGAAGGCGAGAGCGAAGGAGGGACTGCTCGCCTGCAGCTGCCAGGATGGCCCCAGACTGAGCAGTGGGGGCCGGTAGCTGCATTGCTTGCCACTCTGGCAGTCCCCGAGGACTGGCCAGAGTTGGCACAGGGGGAAAATGTTACCCCGAAGGCGGTTGAATCTGCTTTACAGGCTATGCCCTTCCGTGCTGCTTCAGAAGCAGCTCGGAGGCTAGCCGGACAATTAGGGTGGGCACTGCTGACGGGCATTCGAGCCTTAGATAATGAGGTATCATCTTGGCAGCAATGAGTAAAAGATCTGGAGAAGGAGATTGGGGATTTGCGTGATGCGAAGGTGATATAGCACAGGAGTTGATTACAACCCAACCTGAAAAGGGTCAGGAATTAACCCACAGGGTAGAGCGATTGGCTTTACGAGTGGCTAACAAACACCATGCACGCTATGGTAAAGCCCCAGCTACAGTTGTCCAGGTGAGAGCAATGATAACTAGACCCTCCTGGGACCCTGAGGAGTGGGATGGCAATATTTGGAGCACTTCATCTGACTCGGAGATTGACTTTGGATTAGAAGGAGAACCGGCTACTCCCCAGGACCCACCTCTTGTGCAATTGAAGGGGGAGAGGCAAGTAGATGGGAATACAGTGGAGCAATCTCGGACATATACCCCCAAGGAATTGTGTGAGTTTTTAACTACTTTCCAGCAGCAGCCTGGGGAGTCTTTGTTAGCCTGGTTAGTGAGGGCATGGGATGCAGGTGCCGGATCACTTACTCTCTTAAGAGAGGAGCTGAATTCAATGAGCCCTTTATCAACCAATGCTCAAGTACAGTATTATCTTACCCAATTAACTTCTGTGCGGGATGGGGCAGGAAATGTTATTGAAGCTCCAACATTAGATCAATGGTTATGTGCCGCTGTGGTGGGTGCTAACCCGTCCACAGGTGAACTAGCCACTACAGTGGGAGTGTGGCGTACTTTTGAGGAAGGGTTTAATGCATTGCGGCAGCTCGGGGTAGCAACTGGGTTAGCAGATGCAGACAGACCGGATGGTGTGGAAATAACGTGGCAGATGAAAACCCAATTATTAAGAGGGGCTCCAAGTGCCTTAAAGCCATTACTACTTGGCACAGTAATGCCTGCAACTGGGTCAGTAGGGGCTTTGGTAAACAATATAAGGGATTTGGCACTTGTTGGTGGACCGGATACTAAGCAAGCGAGAGCAGCTTGGAATTCCAAGGTGAAAAAATTGGCAGGGACTACTAAATTGAGTGGAAAGGTAACGAGGAGACAGATGTGGACTGATCTGCTGCAGGCAGGGGGATTATGTGATGAGATAAACGGTCTTTCTACTGCTGACTTGTTTAAGCGGTGGCAGCGGCTACCTGCCAATCAGCAATATCGCGCCCCCCCCCCCCCCAGCCACAGCGGGGAAACTGCCAGCCAAAAGACAATGAGGGGGAGGCGGGTCCCCCACAATACGAGCGCCAGTTGCGGCTTACCATCCGGGGAGGAGGGGACTGACGCCCTTATGTACCCCTGTGAATCTGCTGGCGCTCTGGAGGAGAAATTGCTGTGCTTGCTTTAGTAGATACTGGGGCAGAAGTTACTGTATTACATAGTGCAGTAGCTCTGGGGAAGGCCGCTACCCACATGTGCGGGTTGGGAGGATCGGCCACCCCAGCGGTACGGGCTGTAGTTACGTTAGCAATTGGCAAAACCCCCCCATTTTCTACCTCTGTTTTATTAGCAGCGATTCACGAGTACATCTTGGGGATCGACATGTTACTGGGCAGAGATATTCAGACCCTGCAAGGATTGTTCTCCTTTGGAAAAAGTCCTGTGTTACCACAGTTGTGATCCATCACTTTGATTAGAGGGTATCCAAAATGGGACCCAGTGGATTTACCGGTTCCCCCCACTGTGGTGCAAGTGAAGCAATATAGGATTCCTGGTGGGGAAAAGGAGATTCAGGAAACTATAGATGCTTTATTGCATACTCAAATAATACGCCCTGCCCTGTCGGCTTTCGATAGTCCTATCTGGCCTGTTCGGAAGCCTGATGGTTCATGGCGTATGACTGTGGATTATAGGGAGCTCAATAAAATTGCCCCACCATTAGTGGCCGTAGTACCTGACATGGTAACTCTGGTTTTTTTTCAGGAATGGAAAGCTGTCATTGATCTGGCAAATGCATTCTTCTCCATTGCTATATCCCCACAATCGCAAGATCAATTTGCATTTACATGGAATAATAAGCAATATACGTTTCAAGTCCTTCCTCAGGGCTATAAAGATAGCCCCACCATTTGCCACCAGATGGTCTCAGCTGATCTCCCCCCACCCCCTTACAGAGTGTACCGTCCATCATTATATTGATGATATTTTGATAATGGGACCTTCTCAAGAACGGGTGCATGAACAGCTATCGTTGCTAGTACAGACCCTACAGGAGCGGGGGTAGGCTGTGAACCCTAAGAAGGTGCAGGGGCCGGACATTAGTGTGCAATTCCTAGGGATAGTCTGGAGGGGACAGACGAAAGCAATCCCAGAGAGAGTGCACAATGCTATTCAACAGTACCCTGTTCCCACTGCTGTAAAACAACTTCAAGCTTTTTTGGGCGTTTTTGGGTTTTGGCGGACCTTTATACCCCACTTAGCATATTTAATGCGGCCACTACAGCGTTTGGCCAAAAGAAGTAGCCAGTGGCGATGGACTGAAGAACAGCAGCAAGGC